TAAACAGACCAAAGGTATCCTCAGGTTTTATCACTGTAGAATTACAGGCTTTCTAGGGCGTTGTCATGATAATAAGGGTTATTACAATTTGGGCGAGAAAATATTTGGTGGTGAGGCGAGTTTCACATCATGTTCAAAATTATGTCCCTTTTATTGTGATGAGCATACATAAGTTGTTGTTGTTTGTTTGTTTGCTATATGACAGTGGTCTGTAAATAATCAAGTCTGGACCAGACAATCCAGTGATTGACGTCATGAGCATCTATCCACGCAATTGGGATACTATGACATGCATCAACCAAGTCAGCGAGCCTGACCACGCGATCATGTTAGTTGCCTCTTACGGCAAGCATGGGTTGCTGAAGACCTATTCTACGCCGGACCTTCATGGGTTGCATACATAAGTGTGTGGCTGCTTGTAACAGTCCGGACTTCTGTCCATTTCTTAGTGCTAGCCCACTGATATACCATGCTGTAGTTTAAAACATCGATGCCTGACTCAGACATTTAATACTCTGAGACAGTCCTCGTTTTATCCCCTTAATGCAGAGCACCAGGGTAAAAATAAGTACTTTCTTTAAAAGTCTCTTGGCATGATGCGGAAGGGGATTGAACCCCACCGTTTTGCTCTCTTGACAGAGCATATCAAAATTAGAAAAGCTGCTTTTGGTTGAAAATAGTCAGAATACAACTGCAAAAATGGTCAGGTATTTATACAGATCTTCTCAGAGGCTAATATTCAGCTTTAAGTTTCTAGGGCTTCGGTCCTGCCCCGCACTGAAGCACATGTGGTGTCTCCTTGGGCAAGTAACTTTTCATAACATGCCTCAGCAGTGAGTGGGTACCCAGAAGGATGAAATTGTAATGTGACTATTAACCTTCTAGCCCCGCACAGGCAGCTTGGGTTGTATACTCTCCAGTGAGCTGAGAATGAATATCAAGTGCACACTGATCCATTGTTCGGGGCAATAATGTTAGCGCTTTGAGCATACACCTAGCACCTAGCACAATATGTGGAAGTACACATTATTATTAGATATCAGAAAAAAATCCAAAATTTGAATTAAACACTTCCCACACAAATATATCTATTATAACCAATGCCATGACTTTGCAGAGGCAACTTTACATTTTTCCAATAGGGCTGGGACTATACACCAACTGTGAAATCTGTTCACGATCCAATACGTATAAAGATACATGCATGTGCTCTTATCTGTGGTGTGTAAGCCATCTTTTTGATAGACAGGATGGCCAAATACCTGGCACAGTAAGGATTTACAGTTGGCATTGTCAAGTATGGTGCAATGGATGAAAATGTTTACATTTTCACTACTCATTTTCACTAGTAATTAGTGTTTGTTGTAACATTCATAAAAAAAATACATTTAAGGTAAGAATCGATACTTTTTACTTTGGGTGCGATTGTGGTCGATACTTGTTTTGAGAAGTAAAAAATCGCATCCGTGTATCGTTCCACTACTAGTTTTCAATGTGAATTAAGAAAACCCAGATTACAGCCTCTAAACAAGGTATGTTGCTGTATTTGCTCAAACATTGTGCTTGTTACACATTTATACTTTGCATGCAAGACTTGGCATTGAAATTGGGTAGCACAGGAAATACATTCATTTTTTTCATTCTCAATCGGTGTGATATATATACATTTTCACCTTGTTCAAGCAGGCCAATTGGTGAACATTAAAACTATTTAAAATTGTTTTTAGGACAATACTTCTGGGGTGGCGGAAATAAAAAAATCACACAGAAAATACTGATGGCCTAAACATGCTGACAGAGTGCAGTCATAATGGAGACACTATATACTGAGAATGGCAGTCTATTAGAGCTGGGACCATACACCAACTGTGTGATCTGATACGTTTCACGATACCTTGCTCACAATCCGATACGTATCACTATACTTGCATGTGCTCTTATCTGTGGTGCGTAAGCCATCTTTTTCATATAGACAGGATGGCAAAATATCTGGCACACTGACGATTTACAGTTGGCAGTGTTAAATGTGGCATGATGGGTGAAAATATTAACATTTTCACTACTTATTTTCACTATGAATAAGTGTATGGGGTAACAGTTATAAAAGCAAACATTTAAGGTATGAAACAATATTTTTTATTTAGTGTGCGACTGATCAATCCTTATCTCAGGAAGTAAAAAATTGCAATCCACCAATGCACCGATGTATTGTTCCACAACTATGCCAAAAACCTCTGCGTCAACAACCCTAATTTGGCCCTTAGCATTATTTTCAGTAGACATAGTAGATTTTGGTCTTATGATATTGACTATCATTAGCTGAGTTTACTGGACCAAACAGAATTTTACTAGACTTGGGATTTGGACTAGTGAGAAACGTCACAGACTGAGATGGGCATAAAATTCAGGCAATAGTACTGGCAAACAAATTGTACTGCAATATATTGCAGTACAGGTATCTGTATTGCAACATGCATTGTGAAATATTGGGAACTAAAGTGTCTGACAGTGATTGACACCGATTGTACATGCAGATCCTATGTTCTACATCATGCGTACATATTGAAGTACATATATTACTCAGCATCATTTTCTAGTCATGGACATAGGGGAGATAACAATGTGAGAAAAAAAATCACTTCCACGTTAACAATGTTTTGTCAATCAATTACGAAGGGAAACATCATTTGAGAATGAATTTCTGTGTAGATTATAATATAATGATACAAATAATAACGAAACCCCATATATGTACCTAATATACCAACACACAAAACACATATTGCAATATGCAGAGTTTGAAATAACTGCCTGCCCGTGGCTGGTAACTTTTCAGTCGGGCTGCATTTTCCTGCACCTGCCCGACTGTCTGGCAGATAATTTTAAGACTACTTACATATTCTATTTTATCATAACTTCTCATAGATTCTCAAGTCTTTGCATTATTTCAACTGAATCAAGACGCGATTTGTCTCATATTTTTCGTGATATTTCAATATTCATACTGTATACAATGCGGGCAGGTAACTTTGAAGATGGACAGGTAACATTTATGGTCACCTGGCCGACTGTCTTGTTTGGTTTCATTTCAAAATTATTTCAAACACTGGCAATATGTTTCATTTGAAAAGCGTATTGCACTATTATCAGTAATGCTGTACAGTAGTATAAGGCTATGACCTGAGCATGCTATGCCATATAACATACATATAATAAAAATCACAAGTCAACCATTTCTACTAGAAAGTACAAACCCGAACACTGATTCAAATACTTCAACCTCTTTTATCATGATTATTTCTATATTATTTCTCCTCTAACAGGTCTGATCAACAGGACCAAGATAAGTAAGCAATTTGTTTACAACTTGCGAACATGATCATCATATGGAGAGACAGTAGCTATGTCAGTTATATAATTCGTTATACCTATAATTTGGAAACTGAAACACAGTTAACAAAATTAAAATTCAACAACTAATCCATGTTATTACATATTTATTAAGAACCCCCCCCCCCCCCCCCCGATAAACTGCCCAGAAAACATGAATCATGTCAAAACTGTTATTGTCAGTAGAATGTGTTAAAGTCATCAAAAGAAAAGAAAATAGTCAAATTTGAATACATATGCAATCAAATCATTTCTTAGCAACAGGCACACAAGACGTAATCAGGAGACGCTAAGACTGTCTCAAAGGGACATAACTCTTCATGCACAATTTTGTTTGGGCATAAACAGACCTTTTTGCTCAAATCACCATAAATTAGCCCAATTACTACTTTAGTTTTCAGTAGGCCAAATGGACTTCCTGTGGCTAATTCAAACTAAATCCAGCTTCATCTACCATTGTTTGAAACTTAAAATTCAATACATCAAAATTCATATCATCTTCATGATAAAAAGTGCTTAGCCAGCATTTATTCCATACTGTATACACAGCCTTTAAGAATAAGTCTGGATGGAACACGATAACATGGGAAATTATGTTCAAATAAAATTGTGCAATGTGTCCATTAAGCGTGTCAAGAAAAGCAACTATATGTTGTCTCAGTAATTCAGCTAATCAGCAGTGAGCATGATCAGGTGTTGCTAGATGGGTCTAGACCATCTAGCTCATGCATTTTGGAGTTGATTGGCTACATACTTTTTGTACATCCTGTGTGCATGGAACATTCTTACTAATTGCCCCTTCCCACGCAATTTGTACCTTATGGCAAAGGTCAAGATGCCCTGTCACCTCAATGAAATAACCGATGTTCCAAAATAAAACCATGGAGAGACTCACTTTCCACAAAGAAAACTGAAGATAATGTAAACATCCATTGAGTGATCAAATGAATGTTTGTATATATAATTATAAACATCTTCTCTTCTATATGCCAGTCAGCAATAGTATATCAAGACACCCTGCACGGCTGTAATTAAGGATGGACCAGACAAACTACTGTTAACATGAAGGATTTTTATCAAATATCACAGTCTAAAAAACAATGTCCTTGAAGAGACTTTTTATCATGTTCATTGACATATAAGGGACACCTAAAAGCTTGTTTATGAGATAGTTATATTGCAGTTGTTATTGTGAGCATAAACTTCCATAACTGATGAGCCAATTACAAAAAGAAGGTATCATTTTAATTCCAATGTGATTAAAAGCTCTTGGAATCAGAGGAGAGTCTCAGTAAGAAATACTTTGCTGGACATTCTGAATGTGGCCTAGATCTCTTCTTGTGATTGTGTCAACAATCTACATATTTCAAAGCATGTGACACATAGACAACACTTTATCTAATTAAATACTCAATGTACATCCACATAACCTGGTTATGGAGATAGTGCAACTTAAATTATTCTCTGCACTGATAAACATTCGTATTACTGTGTATGAAAAATGTCAAAGCATGTGTTCTGTCGTGACGAACTTCACACACATCATGTTAAATTTCCAAATAACCATGCAAAATAACATTCTAAAGCAAGGAACTAATAAGTTTACGTACCATCAATAAGCCATTCACAATGTGCATTGGCTGAATAAAGATCTGGTCCATCGGATATTTGGCCTCGCTGACCCTTTAAGATTTTCCGACCACTGCAAGATCCGTTGGAGAGATCCCAAGCTGTCAGGAAAACAGCAGCGAAGAAGATATTTCTTGACGTGAAACAAGTCATGACTGACCAAAGGTTGTTCGACAGCCGGTTATCAACAAATGATGCATATCCCCAAACCATCGACCGTGTCAATTGAATATTTTTTGGTCGAGGATGGTTCTCATTTTGGGGGCATATTAGCCCATCGTCTGCTTCAACATGGCATTCAGTATGCACTGTAATAGCATATCTACATCCTCTGTTGCAGAATGTCCAACTGTTCCGAGGATTTCGTGCAGCTACATGCCGATATATGTCAAGTTACAGTATTTAAATCGTTTTGACAGCTGATTTTGCAAGGTGTCCATTGCTTTTGTTCCCCAAAACAGCATCTCAGCATTGACGAAAATGATGTGTTTTGATTGGTTCTAATTCACGAATAGTATTTTCCTCGTGGCATATTTCAAACGATTCTAAGGTCTTCGGTTAGACAAGACAGTGCATAAGTAATTTGGGATTCGTATAACTTTGATGCAGTGCCAAATTTCACTGTAAACTATGTGTACGTAATATTCTGTATAAATAAACACTTAGTTGATGCTTTAAACATAAAGCACCGTCATTTAGGATGTAAGGTTTCGCATATTTAAGAACATTTACAATACACACGTGCGGTAGAGCTGATTTCAAAAGTACAATAATTGACGCGTGACCGAAGAATGAAGCGATTTTAAAGTACGCGTTAGGGCTGTTTCGTATCCTTTTTTATCACTGTATTATCTTCAATACAAGTCCTGTCTGCTGATTTCTGAAAACTTGAAAAATAATGAATATTCATACAAGAGGCAGCTGACACGGTCTAGTGCGTTTGCGTGAAAAGAACATTCCCCTTTGCGTCAGCACATAATGCACAGGCTAACATGCATGATCTTTATGCGAAGAAATATCCTTCACCTGAGCTCTCCGTGCGATCTGTATAACAAAGGCGGTTATGCGATGTTCCACTTGTACTTTGTAAGATGATGCGGGTTCTCGGCCGCGGATACCGTACGTTCTCTTGTAACGGTTGTATATATCATTTGTATTAATTCATTTTAGGACAGGGATCTGCATGCAAGGGGCGAGTTTTATAGCGACCGGGTTGTCGGATCATTTATACGGTAAATAAACTGTTACACGTATGATTAACGGGGTAGATTTATTTAGTCATTCGCTTATCGACGACACTTTTACTGACCAAACAGTCATGCGTTCTCAATCATTGATCACTATCGGGTGTGAATGTATTAGTGTGTACAATCACTTCGGTTGCACATGACACTTTAGCTTATTAGTGACAAAATAAGGTGTTTTTGTTTCGTTTTTCCTTGATCGATCGTTTTATAACCGAATAAACCCACGCAGGCTCGGGGTATCCACCACAATGTTCACTACCCCAAATCACCCTATAGCCCATCTCTGAACCCGGAAGTAGCCGCGTTCCCTATATTTATTTCTCCTTTTGAAGCTTTCTCTCTAGCTTTGTACATGTATTTTAATGAAAAATAATCGCAAGATAATTATTTAACTGAATTTAATATTTAAGATCAGTTGTTTCTCCCCTTGCAGGCAAAACACAATACTGATAAACAGACATTTTATTGGGTGGGGTGGGAGGGTCTTAAATTTTTTATGTCTAAGTATAGGTTACAATTCTATAAAGATATACTATATTTTCATGAGCTACGTGACCTCGCCACACCCACTGCGGTTTGAGTGAGTTAGTGGGTTTGGTTTAACGCCGCTTTGAACAGCTGCGATTTGAAGCGTGCCCGGTTAATCTGACGAACTTTGAATGCCTTGGTGCAAATAAACCGAAGATAACTTGAAAGCAGTGCTTAAACGCAAAAACGTGTTAAAGGGCGGATGGGGTATTGAGAAATAATAACATTATATCTGCAAAAGGCCCCTGTGTCTTTACAATCAGGTTTAGAGTCACTTGGTAGGATATATTATTAATGGTTAAACTTATTTACTTACAATACATTGGTCATATGCGGATCGATGAAATGTGTTTGTTCATATTTTGAATTGTATAGATACGTGCATTTAATATTCCAAGGATGTCGCGCAGTTTAAAATGAAGCCATCGAGCGACACCAAAGGCTGAAATACATCAAGAAACACGTGACCTAATTGCATCACAATCAAATTCCCTTTTTGCACAGGAAACCAGTGTATTATATTGTTACATATAAAAAAACCGCGCTGGGATGTATGGTAATACCCCCCAAACAACAAGTGCCATATTTTGTTACGTCTTTTGGTATGACGCGGGTCATCTTCCCGAGGCAAGAGAGTTTTCTGACTATAAAAGTCCAGTTTCCACCCTTGCCGAACTAGGCTGTTATTATGGATAACAGTTTGGCTGGACTAACGAGTCTATGCATAGTCCAATCAAAATTGCGCAACGAAATCGAAATCCGGTTCGTTATCTGTCGTGCAGATGTCGGTCGATTGCAGCATTTCCAAAGCATGCGCACCGCCAACTCGTTGTCAAATGATATTTTCCGAATCTTTTTTTATGTTTTTAATCAAGGTGCTCACGTGATTTGATGCATTTCGCGATGTAAGACCCGTTTTATCACAATATACATCTTGATTATCGGTCAGATCGTCTTGACTGGGCGCCGCCTTTTTGTTTGAAACAAATGCAAGTGATACGAGAGTTGGAATCTGATTGGTCCATAGGAGATGCTTGGAAGGGACATAACTCGTAATAGCCACTGGTTGCGCTATGATCGAGCCCAGGAATTCCAGCCTAGTTCGACAAGGGTGAAAACTGGACTTCTATAGTCAGTTGATACTCTTGCCTCGGGAAGATGGACGCGGGTGAGGATCGAACCACCGACCTCCTGCTCTCCGGGCAGATGTTTTATCCACTAGGCCACGGAAGTTATCGTTTAAACCTGTAAATGATCGAAAACAAGTGAGTGAAAAAGAATGAGCAACGATCAAATCCACCGCGGGTCAGAACCGTGAAGATCCGGGGTAGAATAGGTCTTCAGCAACCCATGTTTGCCATAAGAGGTGACTTTGCTTGTCGTAAGAGTCGACTCACGGGATCGGGTGGTCAGGCTCGCTGACTTGGTTGATGCATGTCATCGTATCCCAGTTGCGTGGATCGATGCTCATGATGTCAATCACTGGATTGTCTGGTGCAGATTATTTACGGATCACCGTCATATAGCTGGAATATTTGTTAAACAACAACAACAACAAACAACAACAACAACACAATGACACACGGAGTAACACAGAACCGGTCAACCCTGACTGCTCCGCTCTTAGGAGAAGCAGGGGATGCTGAATTCCTATTCTGAATCCCAAGAAGGTTGTGATTATAAGCACCAAGATTTCAGATATGTATCATTTGCATATAAACCATTGTCCGACTGTAAGTTTGTAAGGTTAAACGACAACATAACACATGTGCTATCTGGGAATATTGCCAAGAATATAGACTTTCACAAGTCTAGAAGGTAATAATCATTTGTTTAAATCATAATTTCTAAAATATATAAATAATATGAACAAGTTGTCCCTATAAGAGACTGGCGTCCTTCGATGTACTGTCCGCGTATCTGGATAAGCCCGTGGATGTGTAGCAATACTATCCTTATAGGATAGTATTGTTACACATCCATGGGCTTATCTTTAACTAAAGCCTTGGAGTAAGGCTACAAAGAATAATACTATGAAAATCGCCCTGTATTTCTTTATAGTTTAGGTCAAAGGCGTCAGATATCGTTGTGAAAATTGCGCCCTTTTGCCGTGCCAGCTAGGATTCCTTGATCATAGGTTTGAATCCTAGATTCCCCTATAGTCTGTCCTCCAGACCCTGAAACAAATATATCCAATACAGCCCACGCAAGTCTAGATTACTGTCTGAAAATGAAGAAAGTCTATTGGTTCCTTTTTATTATATTAACAATAATTTAACAACTGTTTTTTCTGTAAAATATATTGTTGATTCCAGAGACTAGATGTCAAAATGCTACTTGGTTTGTCAGTACTTACCTGCAACCTTTACCTGTGCCTGGATCCGCTGACCAGGTGTTCTAATTACCTGCATTTTCTCCCCATTGAACTACCGTAGTGGGATATAACATATATAATTGAAATGCGTTTCAAAGAATTATCCAGCGTGTCATATCCCTATAATACAATTCACTATTATAGTGAAAACGGTTAAAGCCACAATATTACAAAAGCATACATTCAAAAAGTTTTTTTTCAATTATTATTTTTTATCAAATACGTATATACTGGAAGTATGGAAAAGTAGCACTACACATCACCCGCCAAAAATTAAATCATATACTGCTCATGAATTTAACATCAATTTGAATCAGCGTTATAGAACTAGTGGAAGGAAAGCAGTTTTACTGTCATTGGTTGACACGAAAGGTCATCTTAGTGCTCGGTTGAACTCGCTGGCCTGCTCGTCTGGTGGTGTAACACGATACTGTCTGCGTCGACTGCAAGTGTTTCTCCTACGAGAACCATAACACGTTTGAGATTTTCGGGAAATTATAGCATAAATATTCTTACGAGCAACGCGCGTGGTTCTAACAATGTATGTTTAACAGATTTCGTACGGTTTCACCAGCGAGTCGGAAAGAATATAAAATGACTCATAGTAATTATTCTGACTTTGCGAAATGTTTAGTAGTTTTAAAATACTCTTTACAGTTAATACTTGTGTCAGAATTAACTTTTCCCTGTATTTATTCACTCTTTAGAATTATTCTTTTGCAATATATTATTCAAGTATTTTCCTTATTGGGTGGACATTTGAGTGGCCAAAGGGGGTCACCTCTTTTCTGTGCAATATTTGGTACCAAGATTAGTTATAAAATGGCATTGTGCATGTTTCCCATTTTTGCTCACCTGAGCTTGTCTTTGCGCGTTGTCCACCCGTCGTTAACATGGTTTTCTTTTAGATTTTCGTTATCTCTAAAGCTACAAGAACAATTTTTTAATGAGGTTGACATTTTGTGCGAATGGTTCCAGTTATGGCCCCCTAAACACTGCTCGAAGAATTCCCATTCGATTTTAAACATGAAACATGTCATTTATGCCAATAACAGCCTTTTCTTGTTGATCATTACGAAATTTGAAATGCATATAATATGTTTGTCATAAGAAGAACAAATAATACTTTTTTGTGGCAAACTTTGATTTTTTTTTATCGAGCCATGACCTTGTACCCTAGTCCGAAACAAATATATTCAATACAGCCCATGCAAGTCTCAATTTTGGTAAGTCTAGATTACTTCAGTATCAGTATCTGAACATGACGAAAGTCTCTGGGATCCTTTCTATTATATTTCATA